TAGAAATGACTGGGAGAAGTCAGCAGGACTACAGTGCAAATCAAGAATGAGATGGGAACAGAGTACTGAAATGCAAGCTCTTGATGAGATAGGGCAAAAAGTACTAATTCTGGCAATTCCAAATTCAAAAGCTTAAATTTGCAACCCTACCAATAACTGGATGTAGGACACTTTCATATGTTTTAGACATATGTACATGTTTATTATAAGTGGTAAAGAATATCTGCAAAATCATGTCTTGTCATTAAAATCAGAAATGCTGCTTGGACTCTGAGGTGTGTTGCTCCCCTGAATTACCTGCTCACCACAGGTGCGCTGATACAGATACAAATACAGATGTGAGGAAGCAGGAGCTAGATGATCTCTGCTAGCATTTCTAACAATCACACAGTGTGTTGGTTGTTACAAATACCATGAGCTCAAAAAGAGACAGTAATCAGTCCTAATGAGTATATGTGGGGTTGGTTTTGATTGATCCAGGCAATCTGTGGGTCAGCAAAGTGTTGCCAGGAATTGCTAGGGAGAGCTGAGAGCAGAAGAATTGACTGTGCTGCAGTTGGAAGCTGCTGTTCTCCTCCATTATGGCACCAGCAGCCGCAAGGCTTTCCTCTCACTTACAATAAAATCATAGTCAGCATCACTCTTCCCACATGCACTTGGCTTTCTGAATCAGGTCAGGGGTTTCCTTTGGAGACACCAAGATGGGGGAACTGTTGCATACAGTCAGCTAACTGGGGGCCTGTCAGCAGTGATGTCAGCCTGACTGCCTCTGCAGAGGTTGGGTCTGGTGTTGGGGCGAGCTACCTTTACATGTCAGCTCTGTCCTAGCTCTTGGCTGGGATAGAGAGACTGGGAGACAGGCAGCACAGAGACTAGCACTGCTGCGGGTTCTCCGTCACCCGTCAGCTTTCACCCACCTCCATCTAGTAGTGTTTTGATGCTGTAAAGACTGAAATTGAGAGAACTGAAGAGATGGCAAAAACTTACTTTGCCAGGCTTCTGTAAGGAGCAACGGTGAACTAGGAAGGATCTTTACAAACTCCAAGGAACTGTAATGCAACAGTATCCTTTTTTAATCCTTCATTTTAGCCATAAGCCCTCAGTTAAAAAAAAAAGGAACAAGGTCTAGGGAACGCACCAACTCTTCCTACTTTTCCAAGACTCTTACAGAAATCACCGCATTTTATGTTCAGAGCAACTCAATCACTTCAATGAGTTGTTAAGATGGAGAACTGAAGCAGGGAATGGCAATGCTTCTTATCCTAGACCACTGTGAAATGCCTTCAGCAGAAACAGAAATCAAGCTCAAATAACTTGGGTCTCAGTCTGAAGGTTTTCCCGTACAGCACTCACTCTTCTTGCCCAGTGACAATTCAGGGTGGATTGGACAACACCTACTACTCTGAAACACTGCAAGGCAGCACACGGAAGAATTGCTGTGAAAGAGACAGGGGAGTCTCTGCACGCCACTGCCTGAATGACTAAAGGGGAAGAAGAGCTGAAGAGATTTAAAATAATAGAAGCAGCAGCCTATCACATCTTTCTCTTCCTTCCTTATCTGCTGTTAGCTGACAGTCCTTCCCTGCTCCTGAAGGAATGCAGAGACTCACTGTGTTATTATGGCATTTCAAGGACCATCTCTCCGTAAGACTACCTTGCTGTGCAATTTCTGCCATAAGTAGAATAAGTCCTGCAGACCCTACTCACATCTCCCCTTCCCCTCGAGGGTCTAAATACACATTTGCAACTATGGCTTATTCCTTTGTGCTGTCTATATGCAGCGTTTTCTCAATATACATTTCCAGTAATGAGGATTCATTACAATCAAGGTCCAATGAGCAGTTTGTTAAATAAGAAATTATGTCAATGAAATAGCAAGTCCATCCTTACATCTCTCTCCTATACAAACACAACTGGATTGAACTTATATTGTTTTCTGCAGGTCATCATCAGTGCTACAGAAAAACCATGCAGACCGAAGGACTAACTCCCAGAAAACACTGAGGTATGCAATACATCATACTTCAGGCTATGTGAGGCTACTCTTCATGAGGCCAGTCAAGGCTCTGTGGTGACCTGAAGACTACCCAAACTTTGGACTAAACTTAGCAATTTACTTGCGACAGCAAAGAATTTTTGACTGCTGTCTAATTGCTCTGCTGAACTGACAAAGTTAGCTGTACCACACGGCTCAACCCCATCCGAGCCTCCCACTCTGACTGACAGAAATACCTGGAGACTCCTTGTGTGACTTTCAGTGGGAACGTTACAGTTTCATCTCATTATCAGTGTTCACAGTACGGATAAAGCCATTCTCGAAATTAACTTCTGGGTGCACAGAGGAGCAGCATATCATTACAGTTCAATATCTCAGTCATGATTCAGTCTATTTTGTTCCTTTTCATGCTGGTTGAAAGCTCCAACTACAAGGGTAGGTAAAACTGCTGCCTTGAAAATCTCTAAGGTTGGTTACTGTGTGTGCTCCAAGGGAAAGGGAGTCATAACTGGATTACCTTTCTCTGTGAACAGTGTGGCATATTGTTGTATGTTCCTTCCTTCCTTCCTCCCTTCACCCCCCAAACCAGAGAGATCACAAGACACCAGTATCAGCCATGCTGGGCTCCATGCCAGGAGAATTAATGAAGTGGTGTAATAGCTCACACGGAGGCCTAGTGATTGGCAACACACTTAAAATGCATCTGCAAGGCAGGAGATCATCGCGTTGCTGCTGTGTTCTGTTTATTACAGGCACATCTCTTCCGTTCCATTGATTTCTTTATTAGCGCATTTGAAGGCCACAATGTGGGGGCTGGATCTGCTTGAAGCATGGAGGTTTGAATTCCAGCACAGTTTATGGGAAGAAGCCTCCCTTTGAGATTCCAGATCTGGATGACAGAGCTCGGTGCTAACAAGAAGAGGAACCCTACCGAGAGGTTCCCAAGGAGTCTGAAAAATCCTACAGGGCAACTGAGACGAGGTTGGGAAAGGGAACAATTTTATCATTAAGAGTATAGAGGCTTTATGGCAATTGCATGGAGGACTTCATTCCAGAGCCTCATCCAACCTGACCTTGAATGTTTCCATGGATAGGGGGCCCACTACCGCTCCGGGAAACCTGTTTCAGTATCTTACCACCCTCCATGAAAAAACCCTTCTTCCTTATACCTAATCTGCATCAACCCTCTTGTAGTTTAAAACCTTCGTCCTATCACAACAGGTCCTGCTAAAAGCCTGTCCCCATCCTTTTTATGGGACAGCTCCCTTCTAGTACTGAAAGGTAGTAACAAGGTCTCCCTGGACCCTTTTCTTCTCCAGGCTGAACAATTCCAACTCTCTCCATCTGTCCTCATAGGAGAAGTGTTACAGTCTTTCAGTCATCTTTGTGGCCTCCTCTGGAGGTGCTCTAACAGGTTGACATCCTTCTTGTGCTGAGGACCCTGCAAAGCTGGATTCAGTGCTCCAGGTGGTGTCCCACCAGTGCAAGGTAGAGGGGAAGCATCACCTCCCTTGATGTGCTGGTTACAATCCTTTTGATGCAGCCCAGGGCAGGCTTTCTGGGCTGCGAGTGCACACTACTATGCCATGTCCAGCCTTTCATCCATCAGTACTCCCAAGTCCTTCTAAGTAGGACGGCTCTGAATCCCTTCATCCCCCAGACTGTATCCAAGATACTGGGTGTTTCCCTGACCCAGGTGTGGGACATTGTACTTGGCCTAGCAATCACAGCTCCTTGTTTTTCATCTGCGCTGTTAAGAGCTCAGATTCTGACTAGACCTGGACAGGAAAAAATGGGTGGGTCCCAGTGTACTCATCAACCAGCATTCTATCTTAAAATGAACTTCATATAATTTTGCTATCCATTATTCATGACTTGAAAAGCAGGGCCATGTGGCCTAGGACTGAGAGGCAGTGGCTGGGCTGTAGAGGGAACCCGAATGGTTCCATGTCTATCCCAAACTGCCTATAGCATGGACTGAAAAAGCACGGACTGTAACCAGCTGAGGATAGGGCTAGGCTGAAGTCATCAGATTCAGACTACCAAAGGCCAAGAAGAGTCAGTTCTATATGGCAGGAAGTGGAAATCTGCTGGTGCTGTCTGGTTGCTGAGCTTGCTGTTATAACAAATTCAGACACAGCTAAAAGCTGACGTAGTGGTGCCAGGCTGCAGCAGCTCGATGCAGCTGCTGCCCTTGCTACAGCTCATTGCTGCAGCCCCTGCACAGCCAACAGGGCACCAAGCCACAGCACTGGGAGGGGGTGGGACATGGTCCAGTGGTGCTCCTAGGGACAGTGGTGATGAGAGTGCCTTCCACTGGAAAGCACGTCCTGTCCCTGGCCAGGCACTCGGGCTGTTGGCTCGTTGCTGGATCCCTGGGAAAGTCCTACAAAGCTCTTGCTGGCAACTGAATTGCCATGGAAATGTCTTTAGACTGCCCCTGCAATATTCCTCCAAGCAATCTCCTTTGTACATGTGTTCATGCCCTGCTTGTAATTGCAAAGGACCCTGCTTCCTCCCCCTCAATCCTGCATGTGAGCAGTAACAAAGCAGTGTGGACCATGAACACGAAGAGCTGCATGCAAGCAGCCAGTCTAATCAGGACATGCAAGTTCCATTTAAGAACCTCTAGATTAATTCGTTTTTTGACTCCTTCAAATATTTCCAAAGTTTCTTCTTACAATAGTCAACACTTTCAGTTACCAAAAATTATATGGCCGGTAAATGCAACATAAACCAGCATACGTAGATGAATCCGAACCTGAAAGCCTTAATTTTTATATCTATATGTGACACCTACAGTGGCTTGCTTTTCACTGTACAGCACTTAAGCCCCCTTCTTTTAGCTATCTGATACACTACATACATCATATAAACTTATTATCTTGCTGGGAAATACCAGTGTAGAATGTAGGTCTGCAGGTTCTTTAGTGACCCTTACTATAGACAACTTCTGTGTCTGGAATCTATCATTCATTTTTGCAATATGCTTTGAGACACTCACCCACAACTGGTTTCTAACAAGCTGTCCCCAACCTGCAGCGATGCCATCCCGAAGTCTGCTATCCGAATGTTGTTCTTTTCATCCAGCAGTAGGTTTTCTGGTTTTAAGTCCCTGTGGCTGTAAAAGAGGATCAGAATGTGAGTTAAATTATCCACAACAGCTTTCCCACTCTGAAACTTGTATTTTATCCAGGATAGCACCCAACTTTGTTATATTTTAGTTGATTTAACTTTATTTCTTGTTCTAGGCAGGAGAAAACAAGTATTCAAGATCCAACCTTTGCAGTATTCTAGACTGTATCCCAGATGCCCACTCCTGATGAACACAATGCCTGCAGTGCCCTGACAGGAAATGAACATCTTCAACTTCCAGTGATACCTACACAGTATGAGGGAGAAACCGAGGGAAATAGGTGGGAGGAGAGTTTCAGCTTAGATTTAGGATTGATATACTCTATAATATGCCAGATCCTTAAGGTAGGAGGCGACACCATCAATATATTCTGTCAACAACAAGAAAGAAAATGTGTGATATCTAGAGAAAAAAACATTATTGATGTAAATGCTACTGCAAAAAGCCCTTATTAGGAGTTGTTTGCATAGGCATATGGTTTTGAAATAATTTTGGGTAATGAGTTTTGATGGAGAAATCCCTTCAACACAGCACTGCTTATAACTGCGGGTGTCAGCAGTGGGAAGGAAGAGAGAGGATTCCCTCCCTTCCATCAAAGCTCCATTCTCTTTTTATTTGGCAACATGGGAAGAGCTAGGCAGCCACGATCTTCAGGATGGCTCTAAATCACAAGTATCATATTTTGACTAATTTATTAATCTCCATTAGTCACAGTCAACACAACATGTCTGCTTTTTAGTACTGAGGTGCTTTTGAACAACTATTACATTCACTTTATTTTATATCCAAAGACCTTGCACAAAAACTGTAACGACTTTGCTTTTTGCTTCTTTTTATTTGTAACTCTTGAAAATTCACAGAGATGAGGGAAGCACTTTGGGCAGACCAAAGAAAAAGCTCTTTTCTTGGTTTTGCTTACAAGTGAGCAAAATGAGTCTTTGATGTCTTGCTAATAAAAGGTCCAAACAGCAGCACTTGAACAGTCAGAACAGGCCAGCTTTGGTGGCTGGTTAGAACACAAACGAGTAGAAAAGGGATAGCCAATACCACGTGTAAGTGTCAGGTAAAGGACACCCATTTGCAACAATGATTCAGTAAAAGCAGTTACTCTGATCCAAAACAACTGAGCAGAAGAATCAGTCAGAACAGTCAAGTGACACCCATCATGGAAGGCAACCTTATCTTCACTGCATTTCCTTTTCACTTTTAAAGACATTCCTCTAGCACTCCTCATGCCTGCAAGTGTAATTCTACCTCTACACCAGTTTAAAGAAGGACAGTCACTATCCTCTCAGAGAAACACGAGCAGCATGGCAATACCTTGGAAATTAGATCCTCTGATCTGAAGAGAAGTCTGGAATGATCAGTTAGAGACAACTTGTAAATAATGCAGGTCAGTTCTATGTAAAACCAGAGCACACTGTAATAAGACACTTGGGGACTGTAACAATTATCTCCACAGGAGACTTCCAACAAAACAGTGCACATTCAAAACAGTTACTGGTCATTTTTATCACTGAGACCTATCCCTCCTTCCCTCTCACTTTTTAAAATTTAGTCTCCAATCTTGTATAAACATGATAAACCCTGTGTGTTAAAAATGGCCTTGTTAACCCTGGGCAAAAAATCCTGTAGATAATGGAGCATCATGATTCAGATCTGTGCATATTTTCATCTGAAAATCCCAAAGGTGCTTTATCAAATCTATCCTTCTCATAGAAATCCTAGCTTTGAGGTAATTGGAGATAGAAGACGTATTAGCTTTAAACTATCAAGGTAGTCATAACTAGTTGACAAAAAATGCAGGAGATGTGTGACAAGGAAAGGTTTCAGAGGCAGTGAATGACCAGTTAATGGCCAGGAAAGGAACCCCTGAATGCCATCATCAAGGACAGCAGTCCTGGACAAAGGCAAGATCATCAACATATGCTGAAGTTTAACATACTCCATCTCCAGCAGTGAAATGAAGAGCCCCCAGTTCTAAGGCAAGCTAGGAAAGCTGGACACTAATGAGACAGTAATGTTTCCACTGATGGGGTACTGGGGAGACTTTACCCAACTGGGTCAACATGCTGCATTTTCCCTGTTTGAGGACCAGTGGTCAGGGATCAGTAACAGCTCCCTGTGAAGTGAACGCTGCTTGTTCGATGCTATGACACAAGAAATCTCCCCACAGCTCAAGCTCAGTATGCCCCCTTCTACCATGCATTGTTTTTCAGTGTTGGCAACTGCTCCTGTCTGACTGCTGAACTGATACAGGGTATAGAAGTTGAGGGTGTTGCTGCCTGTGCCTGTTCCACTGTTTGAGCACTGCATGATCTGATATGATTCATATATATATATATATATTCAGTCTGTAGCAGGCATACTGCTGACATGTGACTTTTGTACCTAAAAATTGAATCTTTTGCTTATCCTAAAATTGTGCAGCTTATTTAGAGAGAAGAGAGAAAACATGCAGGAATCATCAAGGTGGAGCACGACCTAAGCACAGGACATCCAGAAGAGTTTCTCCAGCCTGGATGCATTCTCAAAACAAAACATCTTATTTCAGGAAAATGGCGCAGCTAAAGGAAATGCAAAAAAGCCCCCCTTCCATAATTCAAAACTTTCAGCCTTGGCAGATCTGCCACAGGCCCTGGATGGAGCACAGCTTATGTGAATCTTGAACCAGGCCCACTCCCAGACACTGAGAGGCAGTGAAAGGGAACGGATGATGCCTTTAGAAATTCACTAGTGGAAAGGAGTCTCCTTCTTCCCATCTCATCCTGTCTTTCCATCAGCTGGGATCCACCACACAGTTTTAGGGAGAATCAATTAGGAAAATGAGGTTCCTATAGAGTGGCACATATATTGTAGGGGTTTTTTGAGAGTCATTCCAAGAAAAAGAAAAAAAAGGGAGTGCCACCATCCACATTCCAAACATGGAGTAAGCTTCACCTCACTGTGCTGTGCAATGCTTTTCCATGAATGATCAATCTACACGGGCTGATGGAGGTATTTAAGGAGAGGTGCTGATCCACCTCCCAGCAAGCATTTTGGAAGCTTTAGGTTGGGAATGGGGGATTTGTGGGACTGAGATAATATGTGTGACAAAAACCCTGGAGGAGCAACAGACCTTAGGGTGTTTTTCTTCTTTTCCTCCAGACACTCATCAAAATAAAGCCAAGAAAATTATCAGCTCTTCACCATAGAAATTATCACTTCACTGAGAAGAGAGGACAGTCTGGACTCTGTCGAGAATCATTACATTTATTGCTGCCTGGGCCCCAAAATACAAGAACTGTCATATACAGCAGTTTTGTATCTCTCTGACCCTTCTCCATCCCTCTTTCAACACAGTCCCTAGTGCCCAGTATGGATGGTTAGCATAGGAATTTCATGGCAGCCTGAGCACATTTTTTGTGTTTTGGCAGCACTGTTCTCAGAGATCAGGGTGCCAGTGGGATCAGGCAGTACTTGCACATTCAAACACAAGAGAATTGTATACCCTGATGAAAATTTTCTTCTAGCTGGAACATTTCTCTGATAATCCATCTTTGGACCACTTTGAATTTGCCGAGGCAGTATCCTGGGGACAGAAGTCAGGCCAGGAGTTTGCACCAGAGTGGCAGAAGCAGCATCACTGCCACTGGGAAAGAGACTTCCTCTCTGCATTTGCATTTCCCATCTTTGTATTGCCAGCTTTCCAAATGCCAAGGGGAAGGCAGAGGAACATATGGGAATAGGGAAGGCTTGTTATAATTTACCTAAGAGCCCAGCAGCCCGGACTGCCTAATGCATTCACATTTGAAAAGAATTCTCTAGTGCCAAAATGAAACAAAACAAAACAAAAATCCCACTGTATGTGGTAATTACTTGGCATTAATGGAGCAGTGCAGAGTAAATGCATTTAATTTGGTCCCATTCCAGCTGATCTCTCTAGCTCTCCATGTCTTATATGACCGCATCAACTCCTCTCTCTGCAGGTGAACAGAGGACTCGTTACCCTTTTGTTGTTCTAAAGGCTCTAAACCTGTAGGAGCTTTATCACATGGCTGGAAAACCAGAAGAGAAAAAAGCAGCTTCTTTACTGACAAATACAGCAAATTCTCCAACTGAGCCTTGCATATGCTGAGAAAGAACGTGACTGAGAAACGCAGCACTGCAAAAGCAGTCAGTGTAAACCTGATCCATAGTGGCCACAGACTCCCAGAGCTTCTCAACCAAGAAAAGAACACCAGAAATTGGCCTTGGGAGCAGGCATCCAGCAGGCTCTTGAAGGGAAAGTATGTGAGTGAAAGGGAGCCCCTAAACAAGCCATGACAGGGGAAGCACACACTGTTAGACTCTCTGCGACATCCCTCTTTTAAAAGACACAACAAAGGCTTTACAATTTTCTTGCAGCGTAAGATAGATACAGAGAGAGCTCTGAAAAATTGTCCCACGGAAATGCACAATTCTTGGAGATGGTGCACAGAAAATAAAAGGCACATATATGCACTAACATGTTCCAGCCTCCCACTTACACGCTGGCCACGCTTGCTTTCTAGTTACTGCCAGAGATGCTATTCAGACAGCTCCTGTAGTTCCCTCCCTTGCCTTTCTAGTCCATCCTCCTGCTCTGGAAATATCCCCATACTGAATATCTGTACTGAAGCAATTGCAGCATACATAAAAACCAGAAGTAAAACACTCTGACTGTCACCCAGGGGCTGGCAGAAGAATTTTGGTGCAGGGACAGACTCTAGATCTTGGATTCAAAGGAGATATGTCACCTGGCATGAGATGATGAACTAAGCCATTATTTTGAAGTGATTTTTGAGCTGAAACGTTCATATTGGTTTCTATGACAACTCATTGTAGGTCACATACTCCTAACCCAAGAAACCTCTTAATTGGAGTAGTTGCAGGTCATTTGTACTAATCAAATTGTCGGTTACTTTGCAAATGCTTTTCTTACTGACCCCAAACTCCCAGTAGGGCCAGACCACGGAATAATTGTT